GGTGTCCTATGCTCCACCCCCCAGGACTCTTGTTAAAATCCTGCCCCTCCTTCAAAATCCAGCCCAAAAGTCACCTCCTGTAAGCAGTGTTCTAGGATTCCTGTAACCCCCTTTCCCCTTTGGACCTGACCAGGCCCTTTGTCCCTCTCTAACCTGTATTGTTGTTCAGAAGTTTCAGTTGTGTCTGACTCTTTGTGACCCCATTTGGGGTTGTCTTGGCAGAGATGCTGGGGTAGTTTGCCGTTTCCTTCTCCAGATCATTTTACAGAAGAGGAAACTGAGGCAAAGAGGGTTAAGTGACTTGCCCAGGGTCACACAGCTAGGAAGTATGAGGCTGGATTTGAACTCCAATCTTCCTAACTCCAAACTCAGTGCTCTATCCACGGCACCACCTAGTTGCCCTTTCTAACCTGTAGGATGGGATATTCTCATTATCAGTGGGGTTTTAGGGAAGCAGGGACTGGTTCATCTCACCTAGGGGCCCTAGCAATCCAGGAACAAGGTTCTGTATACAGCAGGTACTTAGTAAGCACTCATTGAATTATACTGAGAATGTACATGAAGATAGACATGTCTGTCAGAGCCTCCTGGCCTTCTCCATCTGTCGATGCTTCATCCTGCTTTTTGCTCCCCAAAGCATGTCTGAGTATGAGCACCTGACAATCAAGTGTGTCCTCAAAGTATCCAGCTTCTCCTGCTACCTTGTCCTAGATCTGAGATCAGTTACCCAGTGTGGAGAGTCTCTTGCGAAGTACAGATGGCAGCCCCTTCTGTGTGGCTCCCTCAAGGGCCCTATCCTCTGCCCAGAGCCATCCTCCACTATCTAGGCAGAGTCTGGATGCCAGCCAGCTAGCTTTTGGTGGGTAGTGGGTTCACAGCATTCCCAGTGACTGGGCTGCAATCTGCTCATGCCCATCGAGCATCCTGCCATGCCCTCTGGATGAAAGGCAGATTGGCCCCTCAGAGATGGTGGCATTCCACTATAATTTGTGGCTGCACAGACTGTGGGAGAGCCGCCATGCTAACAAAAAGAGATGGAACTTGGATTCCCCCTAAGAACTGCTTGTGGGCAGGATGGGCTTCTCCGAGGGAGCCAGTCCTCCCTTCCCCTCCCCCTTCCTCTACCTCTTCTCTTGCCTTTCTTTTTCTTCCTCTTCCTCTCCTCCTTCCTGTCCCCCTCCTCCACCACCCTCTGGGCCCAGCTTCAGTTTGTCCCTATTTAATGAATTGACTGGGAATAAATGTAAAGTAATGCTTGGTTCAAAAACACACCTTTGCAAGGACAGCGTAGGAGAGGTGTGGCTAGACAGCAGCTCATCTGAAAGTGATCAGGGGCCTATAGTGGACCACAAGATCAACATGAGTGTGACCAGCGGCCAAGCTCTTAGGCTGCCTTCAACTACAAAGCCCAGAATCCTGCTGTCCCTGGCTCTGATCAGAGCACACCTGGAGTGCCAGGGTCATTCTAGGCACATGTGGCTTAAGAAGGACAATGATGACCCAGAAAGAGCACCCAGGAGGACAGCCAGCAGGGGAAGGGTCTGGAACCCGTCCTAGCCCAGGAGCAGTCAAGGGAACTGGGGATTTTATCCTGAAGAACAAAAGACTCTGCAGGGTACTGTGGGGGAGCTGTCCGCTGTGTGGGTGCTGAACCTTGTCCTCTTGGCCCCCGAGAGCAACACCAGCCGCCTTAGGCTGGATGTCAGAAGAGCTGGCTGACAGCAAGAGCTATCCCCGAGTGACCGAGCTGGCCTGGGGTGTGGCGGGGGGGGGGATCCCAGGCTGCCCTGCAAAGTGACCCATGCTTTCCTGAGGGGCAGCCTAGCTGGCCTGAGCTCCCTCTCCCTGCCCCACACTGGAGGGCTCAGACAAAACCAAACACTCCTTGCCACCTTGCAAGCAACGTTGTACATACGTGAGGGGAATCGGGGGGGGGGGGGGGTACAGGCAGGATTGACTGCCCCGGATATCCTTTCCTACTCAGAGACTCTGGGATTCTGAGATCCTAAGTCAAGGGATGGCTCTCCCATCCCCCTGGCTTCAGGAGAGGTGGTGCTGACATCTTTGCTGGGGGTACTTCCAGTCTGAAGGCTGCCACCCACCCCTCCTCCTTGGCACCTTTTTAATCAAAGGCTGAATGAGTCATTCTCACTCCCAGAAGTCACATCTTGTGCATGTAAAACTCAACAGGAAATGGGATTTTTTTCCCCCATCAATCTCCACATAATGTGCCTGTTTCCAAGTGTAATTCTCCCAGAGGGCAGGGGTGAGCCTTTAGCAGAAAACAAGAGTGGGGACAGTTGGGAGGCCTTGGGGACTCTTCTAGGGACCCCCAGCTTCTCCCTGCCCCCAACCCCAGAACTGTCCCAGGGATGCCACCAAACCAGGATGCTGCAAACCAGGGTCCCCAGAGAAGCAGGCTTGGCAGAAGGGCCATAGAAATGAGCCCAAGACACAAGAAAGCTCTTGTGTGAGACATACTGGGGGGCACCAGTGAGTAGGCCAGAAGCCAGGCTGGCCACATGGTGAGGAGAAGGCTTCCTGACCACTAGGTCAGGGCCCAGCACCCCAGGGCCCCCAGGGCTTGAGGGCCTCTCCTGGGGCAGAGTACCCAAACTCTACCCAACCAAGCCCTCTCCTCCCAGGCAGCTTTCCCTGGGAGTACCCATGCTGTCAGAAGAGGAAGACGCCTAAGCTTGGAATGAAGACAACAATGTTTTGAGTCCTAGCTCTGGCCAGCACATAGTAGGTGCTATGCAAATGTTTATTCCCATTCCCCCATAGCTAGTCCTTCACATCCCCGAGCCTCGGTTTCCTCAGTTGTTGAGCCACAATCATTGCACTCCCCCCACCATGGAGCTTGTGAGGAAAGTTAGCCTGAGGAGGGTCTGGACAGGACATCTGAGCTGCTGAGAGAGAGGAGCTTGCTGGGAAGCTAGGGCCAGCACTCAGGCTGTCTGGACTCCCCCTCCACCACCATACTTCTTCCTCCTGGCATGCGTGTCCCTGGGGCTTTCTTCTCCCACATGTCCTGTTAGACAGTACTCCAAAGACAGGCCAGAGCATCTCCCCATCCATGGTCTCCAGATAAAAGTTGCAGGAAGGCTGTCCACCTTCCAGGGTGGTCCCTCCCCATCCTGGCTGCCCCACTCTGGACCTCTCCACCTTTTCAGTGCCCTTCCTAATAAGTGATGTCTGGGACTGAACCGGATACTGAAAGTGGGGCCTGGCCAGAGCAGAGGACAGAGCCTATTGCCCCCGCCCCCCATTGCTCATAGCCATGCCCTAAATTAGCTTGATACTGGCCCAGGTGAAACCAGAATATACTATGACTACTACTATCACTACTACTACTACTACTACTACTAATAATAATAATAATAATAATATAGCTAGCATTTATAAAGTACCTGTTATGTGCCAGGCCCTGTGCTAAGTGCTTTTACAAATTTTTTTCCCATTTGATTCTTACAACAACCCTGGGAGGTGAATGCTATGATCATCCTCATTTTGTGATTGAGGGTCCTGAGGCAGAGGTTAAGTGAGTTGCCCAAGGTCATACAGCTGGGAAGTATCTGAGACTGAATTTGAACTCAGGTTTTACTGACTCCAGGCCCAGGGTTCTGTGCCCTGTGGCACCCCCGGCTGCCTCACGGTAGCTGTAGGTCTGGGAGTTGGAGGACAGAGCTCCCATTGTCTGAGACACAGCCGATCCACAGTTCTCTCAGGCCTCATGATGCAGGAAGAAAGGGGATAAGAGGCATTGAGTGTTTGCTGGCATCTGTGCATGGCCGGAGGGCAGTGAATTATGGAGTCTGGCTCTGGCTCAGGACAAGTGGGCATTTTGCAGCCGGTGCCTGGTGCCAGGGCTCTGGGTCTGGCAGATGCTTCAGATAGGACACCCCCATGCAGCTGTGCCCACTACAGCCTCACCGGATGGCAGGGATGTCCGTGTGTGACCTGGTATGTGTATGTGTGGGCATGTTGAGGCAGACTTGGGCCAAGCTGGGGGGAAGGGCTCTGCCAGAATCCCTGGGAGGGGGGGCTAACACCCACAAGGGGGGCCTCGAGTCTCCCAGGATCCCTGCTCAGGTCATCTCCCCAATCCTTGCCACAACCCTGGGAGGTGTGGGCTCCAAGGCTGATCCCGGTCTGACAGAGGGCACAGGGCAGTTTCAAACCCAGGTCTCCTGACTCTGGGCCCAGTGCCCTAACCACTACCCAACACTGCACCGCAATAGACTAAGCCCCACAGAACACAGTTCAGCCCTTCACTCAGCACAACAAGAATTAATGAAGCACCTACTGTGTGCCCAGTACTGGGTCTACAAAGACCCAAGGAAACAAGCCCCTGCTCTCAGGGGACTTCTGTCCCACCTGGGAGAGGGGGGGCACCTTGTACATAGATAAATAAAGACAAAATTGACCCCAAGTGATTTCAGCCCTGACTATTGAGAGAATCAGAGAAGGTTTGGGGCACCGTGAGCCAGAAGAGAGGAGAAAGAGTAGACGGAGGCACCACTTAGGCAAAGGTGCAGAGGTGGGAGATGGGTCAGCGAGAAGGCCAGGTAATGGCCAGCAAAACTGATCCTGGGGAGATTTTATCTCTCGGGCCTCTGTAGCATCTGATGACAGTTTTCTGGCCAATTGTGTGTCACTGGAAAAGGGATACTGCAGGGCCATGTTTGTTGGATCTTCCCACCAGATTCCAGGTGTGAAGACAGTGTTGAAGGAGGCTCAGGCTCCAGGCATGTGACCTTGGACGGCCCCCCCAGCCAGCTTGTGTCTCAGTTTCCCCATCTGTAGCCTGGTTTTGAGGGCTGTGAGAGAGCACCATGTGGGCTGAGGGTAGCCTGAGAGCTCCTGGGGTGTTCTGGAGGCAGCCTGGGGGATCCCCCCAGGAATATCACTGATCCCCGTGACCCTGCCTGGTCCACGAACAAGGGGTCCTGTGAGGAGTAACCCCTCTAAAGACTCTTCTCTCTGTTCTCTGTCTCCAGGCGAGCCCTCGGTGGTCCCGTGCACGCCAGCTGCCCGGCCCCGAGATGTCCCGGCACCACAGCCGATTCGAACGAGAGTACCGCGCCCCCGGCTGGGACCGCCGCGAATGGAGTGCCAATGGCACCCACGGGAGCCTGACCAGCTGCAGTGCCGCGGCCGCTGGTGCCATCAGTGCCCGGCCTGGCCTCTTGCCTCTGCCCATCGTGCCCTCCAGGCTTCCCACGCCGGCCGCCCCCGGGGCTCCCTGCACCACGGGCACCAGCGACACCATCACCAGCCTCGTGGCCAGCTCCTCTTCTGGGGCCTCCAGCAAGGTAGGAAGGCTCTCCTGGCCAGGGACCCCACAGGCGCCTCTGGGGCAGTGGGCAGGATGGTGGGGCACAGCGTCTCTGACAAAAGGAGGTGCCCCGAGATTGGTTAGCAGGCTCCTTGGCTGTTGGGAACTACATCCTTCAGAGGCCCCCTGGGTCCACACATAGGGAGAGACAACAGTGTTCGACCCACATGGTGCCAGTTTGGGAAAACCCTCGGAGGTGGTGTGCCCAGTGCAGGGACCCCCTCCATAGGGGGCTCGCTACCACGCGAGGGTAACTGAAGGCGACTTCTCAGGGACCCCCAGTCTGTCACTCAATAAGCCTTTATTAAGTGCCAGACACGGCTAAGTCTAAAGATACAAAAAGGTCATCCCACTTCCCTCAAGGAGCTTTCCATCCAATAGGCAAACAAACAGGTACGGACAGCTGTAGACAGAATAAGGAGGTCACTAACAGATCATCACCAGAATGAAGAGGGGCTGGGGGAGGCTTCCTGGAGAGGGCAGGACCCTAGCTCTAGCTTCTGCCAGGAGGCAGAGAGGAGGAGGGAGAGCACGGCACCTCCAGAGACAATGCCCAGGGCCAAGAGAGAGAGGGTCTTGTGAATGGGACAGCCAGAGGCCTGGGTGGTGGGAGGAGGACATAGTGGGGAGTGAGGTGGGAGGATAGTGGAAAGGCAGGAGGGGCAGGTTAGGCAGCACTTGGAATGCCGAACAGCCTTTTGTATTAGATCCTGGAGTGACCTGGTCAGACCTGCGCTTAAGGGAAATCCCTTTGGTGGTGGGATGGAGCATGGACTGGTGCGGGGAGGGACGAGCCCTCATACTCCAGGTATGAGGTGAGGAGGGTCTGCACCAGGCAGGGGCAGGGGCAGAAGACAGGAGGCGCATGTCCAAGAGATGTCGCTGAGGTGAAGTTACCAGTCCTGGCAACAGCTTGGAAACGGAGGTGAGGGAGAGGCCGGAGTGCAGGCGGACTCCTAGGTTTGAGCCTGGGTGACAAAGGAATAAGCATGATATAGTGCCTGCTATGTGCCAAGCCCAGTGCTAAGCACTTTACAAACATTCTTTCATTTGGTCATCACAACAACCTCAAGGGGTAGGTGCGTTACTATCCCCACTTTACGGTTGAGGAAAATAAAACAAACAGAAGTTAAGTGACTTGTCCAGGGTCACACAGCTAAGGGAGTGTCTGAGGCTGGATTTGAACTCAGGTCTTCTAGACTCCAGACCCAGTGCTCTATCCATTGCACCACCTAGCTTCCTCACTGAGAGGAGAGTATTGTCCTCCACAGTCACAGGGTAGGTTGGAGGAGGGCGGGTTTTGGGGAAAAGATGGATTCAATTTTGGACATGTTGAGGTTAGGATGTCTATTGGATGTCCAGTTCAAGATGTCTGAAAGGCAGTTGGAAATGAGAGACTGGAGGTCAGCAGAGAGATTGGGGCAGGATGGGCAGATTTGAGAATCATCAGCACAAAGATGGGAATTAAATCCATGGAGCTGATGAGATCATCAAGGGAGGAGGTCTAGAGGGAGAAAAGAAGGCAGCCTCGGACAGAGCCCAAAGGGACACCTCGGGTCAGAGAGCGTTGGAGAAGGGTCCAGCCAAGGAGACCGAGAAGGAGTGGTCAGAGAGGGAGGAGCAGAATGAGGGAGTCCCAAAAACTAGACAGAAGAGGGTGTCAAGGAGGAGGTGATCAAGAGAAAGGGCCCCTGCTCACTTTGGGGAGAGTGGCCATGGTAGAAGGCTGGAAGTTGGATTGTGAGGGGTTAAGAAGAGAGAGAGGAAAGAGAGCAGAGGCCCCTGGTGTAGACGGCCTTTGGTGAGCTTAGCTCCAGAGAGCAGAAGAGAAATAGAACGATAACGGGAGTGGAAGAGAAAAGGGAGGGTTTTTTCAGGATGGAGGAGACCTGGGCAGGGGAAGGAGCCGGTAGAGATGGAGAGACTGAAGATAAGTGAGGGAGGGGAATGGCAGAGAACGTGACCTGCTGGAGGAGGCAGGATGGCAG